TTTTTGTTCACTATATTCTTACTGTGAAATCAAAGTTATAATTTTTTTTTTTATTTGTGAAGCTTACCTTTTTAAAAGAATTGATCTAGTGTCAATTGAACCTGTTTTTTGGCCTCTTCCTTTCGGACCTCCTCACGAATACAGGATTGAAGCTTGCGCAAAGACTTCATTGTAACTCCATCATCATTAATTCTTTCATCAACAATTTGCAGAGCATTGCGCAGAATATCCAACTGTTCCTTTCTGGTTAAGAGTTGTATAATGACTTTATTTTCTATATAGTCTATTTCTGTAGCAGCTTGAATAAAGTCATTATCATTAAATTGTTGATGTATCTCTATATTTTTCTTCTCAAGGTTTAACAAATCTTCAATTGCCATAGGATTACAAATATGCAATGCATCCAGTGTTTGCTGAAGCTTCTTGGTAGCTAATTCATTATCGTGATCAAAAAACAAGCTTTCTTCCACATTTTCAATAAGAGGAGGTGGGACAATTAGTACTCCATCTTCATTACATAGAGATATAATTTTCATATGAAACCAGCAATTTTTGATTATGCTAGCAGATATTTCATTTCAGGCAATCTTTATTATTATTGATATTTTGGCTAATTAAAAAATTATGAACGTAGCAAATCTTTAATTGAATATATAAGGCCATGAAAATTAATCAATTGGTTTTCATAACTTGAAAAAAAAATTTTTGTATATTTTACAGCTTATCTGAGACAATGATAAAGTTGCCTGATGATAATTGAATTTAGTGTTATCGACATTGCTATAATGCCAAAATTCAATACCGATAACACCAAAATCAAAAACTTATCAAATTCGGCCAAGACAATTTTTATCAGTTGTCCCAGAATTTGAGAATAGCTATAATAACCAGATGAGATTTTACAGCTATTCTCATAAATTCTGAGACAACTGATAAAAATTGTCTCTGCAGAATTCGATAAGTTTTTGAATTCGGTATTATTAGTATTGGATTTAGGCATTACAGTAGTATTGAAAACACTAAATTTAAAACTTATCAAATTTGGCCAAACCAATTTCTATCAGTTGTCTCAGCATTTATGAAAATAGCTATAAGAAATTTTTTAAAAAAAGCCAGCTAGCTGGGACAATTTAAAAGATACATGTTATAAAAACCAAGAAATTAAATTTGTACAGCCTAATATTTGAACTATTTTTAAAATTTTTTTAAAAAAATTTGAATATAGTTCAATGTTAACACTAACCTTTACCCATCTCATAGCTTGCAACTGATTAACTTTGTATATGTTGCTTTCCCCAGCTTCATCTTGATCAATTGCATGTTCAAGTTGCATATGATGATAATGAAGCTTAAATAATGCAATAATACCAGCGTCCATTGGCTGTATCTTAGATGTTACATTTGGAGGCAGCTTAAGCACCTCTATATTAGTTAGAGTAATAGCACCACTAACATGTGAAGAGGCACCATCCAAGATAAGTAAAACATGATGATTTGACTTTCTTATTTCTTCGTCAAAATTTTTAATCCATTCCTGAAAAAAATATATATATATTTAATAACTTTACTAACTAGACAATTTTTGATTCGTATTTACAGGTTGAATTAATGAATATCGGGTATATATTGAGAGACAAATCTCCTGATATATACCCGGTAGTCTGCCATAGATCTGTGAATCTATGGCAGGCTACCAGATATATATTAGGAGACTTGTCTCTCTGGTATATACCCAATATTCAACTCATGATTATTATCTGAAAAAACTTAGCAGTCATCCAGGCTTTTAAATTATTTCGATAATAAAACCCAAGTTCTTTTCCAGTTTTTTTTTTAAAACATCTAGGTTTTGTAGTATGACTAATAGTGAAGGGTTGAAGCTTGTGTGTGCTATCAGCATTTGATGTAAGTACAATTGTAAGTTAGGTACAATTTTTTTTTGCCTCTTCAATTTAACGTGATGCAATAGTATGATCAGAAGCTATAGAATAAAACAATCCAGTCTCGTCTATATTATAAATATCTCTTAGAGAATATTTATCAGTTTTGCAAATAATAATGGGAAGATTTAATTCTATAGCTTCAAGATCAGCAGAACCACTCTCACTATGACGTCTAAAGTTATGAAAATTGTGTCTTTCTTGAAAAGCTTGTAACCATCAATTTAAGAACTCTGGATAGTTATCTTCTGGAATTTTCATTAAATCTGCTAATTTTTTTCCCTTGGCTTTAATCATATCTCTATTTAGACATACGTCTCAATCTGCATATTGTAAAATCCAATTCGCCAGTGCAATATCTAATTCAGGGAACATAACAACACGGCATCTTTTAACTCCAAGATTGCTTGTAGACATTGTTTCAAACTCTTCTTTTCTTTTCAAAATTTCAGAAATTGTACTTTGAGCTGAGGCTTTTAATAGATTAAATTCTTTTTTTGCCCACTCTGCAAGCTCTTTTTGGATAAGATTGGGATTGGTAAAATAATGATTACATATTGTTTTTTTTTGATCATTTTGCAAATTGTCAGCTAAAACGATCTTATCTTTTTTTTTCCCATAATTATAATAGAATAAAGAAAATATTTTATGAAGTTAAGATGAAAATTTAACAAGAAAAATCATCAATGTAAGCTATTATATTGTTAATTTAAATATTTATTTATTATTTATTTACAAAATTATTATAATTTTTTATTACATGATTTTGCTATTTTCAATTTATCAAAAATCTCAAAATACTGAGTATCTTATGTTATCTACAATACGTTTACAGTATTTGCATTATTCAGGTGAATTATAAATTTAAAACTTGATTTTTATCATGTTATTTACTGATATTTTTAATTCGTAGGGGTTCACGCAGTGTTGTACATTTTGACTGTCTCGGACCTTTTTGACCTTGTCCCATCCCAGGACGTCCTGGGACGTCCTAACTTTGTTCCATCAATTTCTCAATTTTTAATTTGAAAAGTTATATTAGAGTAATAATAAGATATGTGTAAAACTAAATTTTTAACAACTTTACTTAAGAATTGAAAGAAAATTGTCTTAATAAAATTTTGAGTTATTGCTATTTTTTTAAAACTTCAAATTTGTCCCAAATTTGTCCCAGATTTGTCCCAGCTATCCCGTGTACAACACTAGTTCACAGGCATTCAAATGTGCTATTTAAAAGATTCGAATGTTAGAATAATACCCACCCTCATAGACATAAGTTCATTTGATTGGCTAATAAATTCAAATTAATTTTACATTATTTATACAATTTAAAGTACTTTTTAAAAAACATAAAACTACGAAGAATAAATAAAAAAGAAATATATAAAAAGTTTTATTAGGGTTGTAGAACTCTACTATTAAAAATAAACCAAATCAATTCTGGTTTTAGAGAAGTTAGCATGGTAATAACCTATCATTAAGAAGTCACTATTATGCTACCTTCTCGAAAACCAAAATTGATTGAGTTTATTTTTAATGGTGAAGTCCTACAACCCTAATAAAACTTTTTATAAACTGCTATAGCCGAAATTACTCTACATTTAAACCTAACTTCAACCACCAATTTACAATAACCTCAAATACATATTCTCTCCCAAGAAATACAATTGATACATTATATAATTAAAACTCCCTATTATCAAAATCTATTAACTTAAATATATAACAATATTCTAAACTTAAACACAACTAGATTTCGGTTTTATACCGATGCCTCTATCAAAAATCTTCAAACTCAAATATACAATCTAGCATTGGCTGGATTTGTAAAAATGATTTATCTATTAAATTTAATGCAGCAATTTACCCCACCCTAGACTTATTCCATTCTGAACTAAGTACAGTTATCTCCCTCCTCTTAGTTTTACCAATTAACTCTACAATTATCATTCTTATTGACAACCTAACAGCAATTAACAATCTACGTAATCTCTCATCTCCAAAACTTATTCAAAACAAAAACTGGGATATAATCACAATTATTAATTCTATTAAATCAACCAAAAATATTACT